ATTTCCTAAATTTATTTAAACAAGTTTCTTATATTTCATTTAAATGAATAAAAGTACTCGTCAGATGTTCTGCCCTATTGTTACCATCTGGTTGGCTTGCTCAATGAAAACCAGAATGGTCTTTTCTATCTTGAATAGATACATGTATGCTGTTTTAGAGCACAGGCTCAGCTTCTAGGAACAGAGAATGGGAAAGTCGTCAGTAGTTGAAGCAAGATAGAGTTTTGTCTCATTTAACAGGTTGGAGGTAGCCATCTACTGGAGATGGCTACAGTAGATTGGTGGCTGTACTCTAGAAGGCCATTCAAGAAATTGTGCTTCTTGTTCAGTCACCAATTGCAGTTTCCCTGTTCGGCTTTGTAGCCTCTAGCCACATATGTCTATTGACATTTATATTTAAATTAACTTAAATAAAAACATTCCTACCCATAGTAGCCATGTTGTAAGTGCTTAGTAATCTGCTGGCTGCTATTTTGGAAGGCACACACAATACCCTCGTTATCCAGAAGGGACAGTACTGTGCTGTTGTTCTTGTCCACATGCTTAGCGTGGCTGACAGTGACCCGAGTTCTTGTTTGTGATAGGTTAGGATGAGAGGAAGGGACAAAGGAACACTCAGTTTTGTTATAATTGAGTCAAAAGATGCACGTGTATCATTTCTGCTTGCAGCCATCTGGTCACGATTTAGTTGTGTTCCGCATCTCAGGCCGAGAAGCAGTTAGCGGCTGTGATGAAGCACTGCATTGCTTACACCCCTCGTGGTGCAGCAGCCACAGGCCACAGAGGTTCTGTTCTGTCAGAAGGAAGGAGGTGAGAAGCACACCAGCGGTCAGTGGTGGTGCTTACTGAAGGTGTCAGTATCACTGCAGTGTTTCTCCCACCTCCAAAATACGGGAATTGGGGATTACTGTGGGTAAGAGGTTTCTGGTCTTTCTCTCCCTACCCCACCCATCCATTCCCCTCCTCTCCCCTCGTCCCCGTCTCCCCCTTCTCCTTTCTTCTTCCCTCATTTCTCCTCTTTCTCTCCCTGCCTTTTCCCGTACCCTCCTCTTCTTCCATCTCTCTTTCTCTGTTGTGCATTGGATACAGAGACTCGGTGCTGAGCTACCTGCCCAGCCTTTTTCAGTTTGTATTTTGAGCCAGGTTAGCCCTTAGGCTAAATTGCCCAGCCTTGAATCAGCTGGAGACCCTCCTCCCGGGTGCACCACCATGCTCGAGTATTTAATTTTCACCATGCTGAGATTAACCTGAAATTATGTACGTTTTTCCTTATTTGAATTACAGTATGTCTTAAAATTAAAAAATTTAACCTCAATGGCCATTTTGACTTAAAGGTTATATTTTGAGCATGGCTCTTTATATTCTGAAATGTTATCTCTGTTAAAACTATGAAATTATTGTCTTTTTATAGATGTTCTGTCATGATTTTTGACATTTTGAAGATAAGTTGCAATTAAGTACAAAAAGTATTAGTTAGTGGTGGGTGTAGATTTTTTTCACCCACTTTCATAACTGCATTTGCTTGTGTCCCCCCCCCTTTCCCCATTATAAACTAGGGGTTACAATGAAAAGCACGTGGCCTTTTTTCATATCTTTCTGTATCCTTAGTTTTGAGATACTCTGAAGTGTTCTTGTTTATAACTTCCATTTTTCTTTTTTTATTTTAAAATGGTAAAAGAATAGAAAATGGTACAGAATTTCAAAACAAAATAATAGCTTAACAGTGGTTAATATATTGTATGTTATCATCAAAGTGGTGCTCAGATTACAAGATACAGGCATGAGAAAATGATCAAACAATGAAAGCACAAACTGTTCTTCTTGATGAGCCAACAGATTAGTAGTAGAATCACATATACTTTTCCCTTTTTTCTCTTTTCTCTTTTCCTTTCCCTTATCGTAGTTCTTTCTTTTTTGAGCGGTTTCTTTCCCTTTCATTTTCACAATATCTGTTGTTCATTTTGGATCTTACTTACTTTCATTTTTTTACATTAGGGAGACAATAGGATATTTACATATGTGAGTTTATTTCACCTGTGAGTATAGTCTCAAGTTGCATCCATTTACCTATAAAAGCATCAAGTTTATCTTTATAGCTGAATCATACTTCTTTGTATAAAAATACCACATCTTTTTTATCCATTCCTTGGTCGATGGACATTTGGGTTGTTTCTGAGATTCAGCTATTACAGATTGTGCTGCTATAAACATGAATGCACATATATCACAGTGGCATGATGTTTTCAATTCTTTTTGGAAAATACTCAGAAGGGGAATAGCTGGATTGAATGGGACCTTCAAATCTAGTGTTTCGAGGAATGTTCACACTGATTTCCGCAGTGGTTGTACCACTCTGTGCTTCCACCAGCAATTGAGAAGGGTTTTTCCCTCTTCCATTCCCCCTGGCATGTTTACTGGTTAACTTGATGATAGCGTTTCTTTTTGGAGTGAGGTGAAATCTCAGTGTGGTTTTAATTTGCATTTTTCAAATGACTGGTGATGTCCACATTTTTCCGTATATTTATTTGCCATTTATATTTTTTCATCTGAGAAGTGTATAATCAGCTCAGATGCCCATTTTTGGATTGGGTTGAATTTGGTATTTTTCAATCCTTTATAGAAATCTTTTGTCTGAGGGACAGTTGGCCAAAAATGTTACCCAATCTATGCGTTTTCTTTTTACTCTTAATTTCTTTTGATGTACTAAAAATCTTTTTAATAAGGTGAGACCCTAGTTGTTGGTTCTTCGAAGTACTTCCTGTGCATTTTGTGTTTTGTTCATGAACTCTTTGCCTACACCTATGTCTTCAGAATTTCTACCCACCTTGTTTCCAGTATATTTAGTGTTTCTGTTTTAGCTTCTATATTTCTAATTTAGAATTTCTAATTCTTGAGTTATCAACTTTAGGAATTGTATCCTGGTTACTGTAGTAAATCATAAACCACTGTCTGTCTTTCAGTATTTAATTTTGCATTAATGTTAATATCCTTTAGTTCTTTCATGTCCACCTATGAAAATGTGTGTCTTGTCTTTAAAATTAGTAATTGAATTTTTATTGCTATCATCCTAACCCTTACTCCTGATCTTTCTGCTTTCCAGCTTTTGTCAGCTTTGCTTTAAAATTGCAGTAGTCAAGTGTACTTAGTTTCTGTAACTATAATTCTTTTAGCCTATTTTTGTTCTTGATGGATCCTAAAAATTATAATTAGTAAAGTTTAAATTTTTATGACTATACAAATATTTTTCACTGCAAAGTTAATAGTAGTACATCGATCATTTTTCCATAGCTTTATTGCTTAAAATTTAATTTAAAATTTTGTCTTCTCTTTCTGGTTTCTGCATTTTAAATAATTCCCATAATCTCCAGTGTGCCAGTCATACTGTATTTTACAGGTTTTGCCCTTTTTGCTTACTGTGCCGTCCTGGAGCCCTCTCTTCCAATGTGTTAGTATTCTTGTCAGTATTCTTTTAACTACTTTACATTTTCATAAAAGTCGTTAATACTTTGCTTTAATTAGCACAATTCTTTATTGATATTTTCTTAGCTAGATTTTATACTTTGGAAATTTTATTTCTAATTAATATTTTTAGTGAATATAAAATATAGAAGGTGTCATTGTCAGATTTCCATATATCTGAATGTTAGAGTGATATGTTAAACATGTAGAGATTCATTCAAATTTTCAGAAAATAGTAAGTTTAAGATGTTTAATTGATGTAGTTTAAAACCACTTTTCCTGTAAATAAACATTTTTTTCTAAAATAATTTTACTTACTGATTATAATAAAACTCCCATCTCTGGATAGTTTGTGGTTGTTTCTGTTTTTAGATGATACTGAGGCTTAAACTCAGACCCTTCTGCAAGCTAGGCAGACTCACAATCATTGAGCTACATCTCCAGCCTTATTTTATTTTACTTTTTATTACATCATTGAAGATCCGTATCTTCTTCAGGTTTAGATCTATGTTCTACAGTGTCACTACCCAGCATTTATTGCAATTGCCTTGCTTAGTACTAGAAGACAAACGATGAAGTTTAAAAAGTCACCTAGTTTGGGAGGCTGATTTTAGTTCTGAACTCTGATGTGTCTTACCATCAATTTAGGTAATTGCCGAACACGCTTAGGCTTTTTTTTTTTTTTTTTTAATCTTTATAAGAGAATGGTATTGGAAAATGTCAGAAAATGTCCACATGCCCAGTTCACTACTTAATACACTGCTAAATTTGAACCATTTTGGTGGTAGCTTATAATATGCAAGGGACCGTATTTTTACAGAATGATATATTTTAAAGGATATTGATTTCTATTGTAGAAAATTCACGCATTTAGAGCAACTTAAAGCCAAAACAATTGTGCTTGTGCTGTATGTTTAAAATATGAGTCATCTTGAATATATACCTAGGTTAAATGTCAGAGGCTATATATTGTACAAAAAGAAAATTTATTGTTAGGAGACCAGGGTGTACTTGTGCTTATAGAGCATTTTCCTTAGAGGATCAATTTGAGTATTTGAACTAATATCAGCCAGGTATTTGTAGAGTAACATTTATTGATAATAAAGGAGGAGTTCATCCAGAAGAAAAACAAATAAAGGAAGCATAAAAGCCTCATATTGTATAAAGCTGCAAAATGGATCGTGAGCTTGACAGGAAGTTTAATGTGTACCTAAGCAGAGGCTGACAGAGACATGCTGTATGTGCCAAAGGTTCCGGTGATGGAAAACCGAGACATAGTGCTCACTGACCACAGCATGCGCCTTGACACACACTGTAAATAATCCAGAGATCTGTGACTGCATGAGGCACGAGCCTGGTGTATTAACAGCAGCAAGCTATAGCAGAAGAGAGGGTTGGGATGCAGACATTCCTCTGATTAATTTTTGTAATGGATTAATGAGAAATATAGTAAATATTTTTATTTCAAATTGTGGTGTCTTCAACTGTACCTCAATAGCTTGCCTTAGTGTGATTGTTTTTAATTTTTTTCTGCTCACCAGACTTGTATATGTGGATATTTGCTTCAGTACCATCAAGTTAAAAGCAGAAGATGCTTCTGGTAGAGAGCATCTAATCACTGTCAAGTTAAAGGCAAAGGTATGTGCCTTGTTGAACTGTTATGCTGTCCAAGAAATACTTTGAGAAATGAGCTTTTTAAATGTTTTCACACTTAAGGAGGCTAGCTATTCTAAAAGTACCTATATGATGCTTTTAAAAATTGATTTTCAAAGCCTCAGAATTTATTCATCAGGTTTCCAAAAGTCTACATATTATTTCATGTCACTGTTTTAGTCCACATTTTATCAAAATGTAGACTTTATAATAAATATTACAAATAAGATCCACTATCCTCTAATTACTATAATTCTTTTTTTGTAAAATCTTTTGCTGAAAAGCAGGTGTTTCTTCTATCCTAAGGAAAGCCTTCCTGAGAAAGTCTTTTTGCCCTCAATTCTCTCCAGAGTATTGTGGGTCTCACTGTGATTTCCCAACTCCCACTCCCTAACACAGGCACACACATACATACTTTTCAATATTTGTTTGTTTTGGCTGAAGTTTTTGGGCATATGTATTACAAAAATTTTCAAAGATCGTGCCCCTGTAAGCTACCAATCCATAATTATTCACTAATTTTATTGGCACAAAACATCTTTATTTTTGTTTCATCTTGAATTTTTAGTTCTCACTTGGAAACTTTTAAGAAGCAGAATACATTCAACATACTAATAATTTCCTTAGTAATAACTGAAAAAATTTTAGAATTTGAGGAAAGCCAGAGCATTCAACTTTTTTATTGTTCCTAGTAGTCATCAATCAATTCTGTATCAGAAGATTGTAGTGATGAAAAGATCAATTGTGTTTGTCACTTTTAAAAATGTGTCTGGCATTTAAGCTTTCCGCTAGAGAAAATTAATACATAAAACTGTACTTACTGGGTGACACAGGAAAGTTGCTATCTCACAGTGGCTCTGTATCAGACAGGTTGAGAAATGACCGAAGCTCTTCACACACTAGAATGGTCAGGTATAATTTACAGGACTATATAGGGTAAATGCTCAAAGAATTAGTGGCATATTTATAAAAGAAGTTAGATGGTTATTTTAAAAATATTTTCCTTTTGAGTTATTAAGGATAAGCCTTTTAAAAAAATATCTAGGAAAAATCTGCCTTTATCCTTCCAAAAGGTCACATACTTGCCAGTGGCAAGGGTTCTGTCATTTCCTTCAAGACACTATTTGTTGATATTTCGTACATTTATAAAAGTTGCTTTACTGCTATGAAGATCAAAATGAGAGCTTTTAAGTACGTTGTGCCCTCATTTTTATGTGTTTGTGCTTATTAAGGAGATAATGCTTTTAATAAATGCTGCCTTTATTCTTTATTAGCTTTTTTCTTTACATTTTATTTTAAATTTATAATTAATTGTACATGTTACTGAGCTCACTGTGATGAAAGATTTTATTTTTAATCTAATTTGATGAGACTTCATTTATTGGTAGTATTGAGAATGAATTTATGCCCACTAATATGCACCATTCTGTTGACTTTTTTCTTCCACCTTTCCAAGATAGGTGAGATATTTCCCCTAAAAATATGTGTCAGTGTCAGTTTTGCAACTTCTGTAGTTGCAAAAGCACTATTGTGGACACATCAGAAAAAGAAAAATCTTTGAGCTGAGAAAGAATTAGGGAAAAACTTTATAATAAAGAGATGAGATAATAATATTTAAGATGATTTTTAAAATAAATTTTAGAATATTTGTCCATTTAGCTGAACTTTATGGAGGATAAAGTTGTTTTTAATATATAGTAATGTTTATTATTAGGAATATTTGCACCAGGGTTTTCATTCTTAAAAAATATCAGTTATAGCTCTGCTATTTATTAAATAACACATAATACAAATCTTTATCCAAACTAAATTTTAAGGGGAAGGCTGAATTTTTTAAACAGACCTGTGGCATACTTAACTCTTATAAATATGAAAAACATTTTTCTTTGACTTGTTATAAAGAAATATGTTTCCAATTGATTAATTATTTTTTGTATGTGGGATTGAATCCAGTGCCTTCACACTGAGCTACATCCTCAAACTTTTTTCTGTTTTTAATTTTGAGACAGAATGTTGTTAAATGAATAAGTTGTCCGTTACATCTGGTCCTCCTTCCTTGGCCTCCCAGAATACTAGCATTACAGGCATGTGCCACCATACCCAGCTTGTTTGTTCTTGAACACAGTATCTGCTTTCCTAGTTCTGCTGCTCTTCACCATCTCCGAAAAGCCACACATAAAACAATACTAATTTGGACTCAACCAGTCCTGTTAAAAACAGATATTTAAATTAAAAAAACATAAGCAGGGAATATTGTGCCTATAGATACATTTTTATGTGGTGTTTAACAGTGTATCCTGTACGTTGTGATACAGAATTATCTTTTCTTCTAAGAAGTAACCTGGAGCTTCTTCAGCTTTGAACAAAATCAGACCTACTATACAAGAGAGCTGTGTATGTACTCAGTGACTCTTTAGGCTGTAGATGTTTTACTTGGTATATCTATTCCAATAGAGTAAACATTTCATTAAGTCCTTAGTATAAATTGATAATTTGCTTAAATTATGCCATTGATACTGATCGTTAGTATGTCTAGACGATGAATAGCAACCCAACATGAATTAAAGTTTTCTCTTCTTGTCCCAATGGGGATTTAAGTGTGCATAATTATGTTTAAAGAATCCTAACATTTTATATGGAAATGAGATGTTTTCAAAACATTTTCTGATGATTTTAATCATTTTCCCCTGTGAAACAGCCAGAGAAATTAAATGACTTGACCAACATCACACAAATTAGTTAACAGAGATGAACCAAGGAGGGCTGAGGTCTCTGCCTGTATTTGTTTGTAGATAAGCACATGACTCTTTAATATAGCATGCAAATGATTTCTCCATTATAGGAGTTACATTCTGAAATGGATCATGTAATATTTTGAATTGTCTTAAACAGACTGTCTTATCTCAGCTTTACCATTCTTCCTTTTTTTAAGAATTTAGACATTATAATATTTATATGATTTTCTATGTATTTACTTTTGTGTTAAGAGTTTACATAGCCAGAGAACTTTAGCTGATATATATGAATGCTAAGTTTGTAGCAAATGTTAACTCTTTTGAAAATAAATTACCTTCAAATGTACTGATACTTGTTAAATACAGTATGTCAGTGATAATTTTTTAAAATCCTTTTTGGTTTTTCTAATGAACTACTGTAAAATAAAGTATGAAAACAGTAAAGGTCTAAAACTTACTTTAGTTTATCAAATATGTTTCCCTAAAACAGTTTCATTTAGCTATTTATTATAGAAAATGAGTATTTTTAAATAATATTCCAGAATTGAATTTTAGCATTAATACAAATATAATTCTCTAATAAGAAAATCATTTTCAAGAAAAGCTATATTTGTCTTTAAATTAGAAACCTGGTTTATTCTCCTATCATTTTTAGATGATACCATTTTTATATGACTAATCGAATATGTTTCAATCTTAGAGTTTTTTCTTTCTTTAACACTGTTTTTCTGTAGGGAACCAAAAAATTGTTTCATTTTGTTTATTATCTTGGTAAAAATAATTGCTTTATTATGAGAAAACCATTTTTAAACTGATAACATATCTAATCATTGAACATTTCTTGATTTTTATAGATATTGCCTGTTTAAATGGCGACTGAAATTAATGGAAGTTAAATTTTAGACTAAAAAAGATTGTGTTGATTCATTTGATCTCTTTATTTTAAACAGAGATCGAGGTCAGTTCACTACTCAGTAAGAACATTAGCAGCTGACCTGATACTGAGTATATTACTCTTCACTTAGCACTGACTAATCTGGCATCCTTAATTCATCAAAGTTTTGTGCTTTCTAATTATAGGTTGATTCTTAACATTGCCACAGTAATAGAGCCAAAATATTTACATATAATACTTTTGTAGTTAAAATTTCTAAGTATTCTGGACATATAATTCTTTTGTAGTTAAAATTTCTAAGTATTTTAGTTTTTCAAAAGTGTTTTGTAAAATTGTTTCATAGAAGCAGAGAAGAACTAATTTAATGCTTTATTATAGTATCCTGCAGAATCACCTGATTGTTTTGTGGATTTTCCTGTTCCATTTTCTGTTTCCTGGACACCACAGGTAAATTCTTAAACATAAGTAATTAAAAAGTAAATTATTTTTAATCATATGGTCTTTATAGGCTATAAAATGGTCTGTCTTTCAGTTTTCTGTAAGCATTTACTTATAAATAAGCCTCTATAAAGCTTCTTTCATAATTTCTAATAGTTAAAGTCCATTTTCTCTTTCTCCACACATAAACACGTGCACATAAACGTGCACGCGTACACATGCAATTGAACCTCTCGTTTCATTTTAGGGAAACATGCATATGGTGTGTTGATATACATTTTCCTATAAATCTAAAACCTAAAGAACTCTTCAGTAAGCAGTGACCAGGGTGTAGAAAAGTAGGTGAGATTTTTTATTTTCTTAAAATTTTAAACACTGATGACATACCAGAAAATTTTTTATCAAAGAATGAAAAGAAACCCTGCAATTTGTAGTCAGTTTTTATTATAATAAATTATCTGTGAATTTAGACTTTATATTTTTGCATGCTTTACCATTTTGTAATTTAAGTAAAGATTGTGGATACTTCTTCCTGCTTCTGTTCAATCTCTCACTACACTGATAATATCTACCAAGGTATTTTTATAAGTGTGTATAAAATATTGTACTATATAGTTATGATTATCAGTAGTGTGATAAAGACTTGATATTTGTGATTTTAAAAGATGGTTACTTCAGAGAACAGTCTAGTAATGATACACATGGTCCCTCTTTCAACAAATAAGTTGCTATAATAATGAAAAGGAGAAAATAACCTTATATTAGCAAAGAGAAAATTTTTATTCTGTAAATGAAACTTATTGTCATGCTCATTGAGGATCAAGTAAAATATATGCTTCTATTTTAAATTATACATACCTAAGAGTTATTACATTTCAAATTAGTTTAAAAAATGTAATGTTTAAATGTTCTGTGGGCCCAAATATCTTTTTAATGACAGTTATTTAAAAATTATTATTCTCATTTTGTTCTTTAAAAGCAAAAAAATTTTTACCAATGGAAATTGAGAAAAGACAGCACAATATAAAGGAGAGGAAAAAGACTGTGATTTGCTTTAGATATTTGATGTTACATTTATAAAAAAATCTTATGTTGGTTTTTTTTCCCTATCAAGAAAGGGAATTATATATAAATTTCATTACTGTTTTTTTTAAAGTTTATAGTTTCTAGTTGGCTCTGGAAGCTTCAGTTTTCTGTTTTAAAAAGAAACATCATGAGAAAATACTGCACCTGCGATTTCTAGATTTTATTTTTAATTATACATTCATACTTATAATCATTTCAGAATTAAAGAGTATAGTTTTGACAAGTTTATTTAGTTTTCCTAAATGTAGATAACTATAATGTTCCTCTAGACTTTATGAACAAGTTCGTGTCACATTAGAATTGGTTTGTGACAGCCAGATTGGAATGTCATTGAGAAGGATTTTTTTGTAGGTTTTTTATTCCTATATAAAAATCTCAATGCCTTGTATGTGTAAGATGGGTAATAATTCAAGTTCAAGTTTTAGATTTAATTGAGTCATGTTTTCTTTTTTGTAATGGCTCTAAGAAAACAACTGGTAACCTGAATTCCATAAATTTTTCTTAAATTATAGAATATACTGAAATTATTAGCAAAGTACAGATTAAATGAAGACTTCTTTTCATCCACAAGTCAAATTTGACAGCTGTTATTATTTTGTCATATTTGATTCAGCTGCATTTCTAGTTCTCTTTGTCTTAGAAATAAGATATTCTGGGATTAGCACAAAACCACTTCTTTTCCTATTCCTTCTTTTCTTTTTGCTTCATTCCTTTCCGGAAGAGTCTGTTTTCCTGAAATTGATGTGTATTCTGTCCATGCATGCTTTTTGCCTCATTGTTATGCCATAGTTACTTTGACTTTTTTTTGTTTTTACAGTATTGTTTTGGTGATGGATTCATGATCTCTGTGTCTAATATTTAAAATATGTCTGTTGGTTAATTTATCTCTTACCCTAATGATATGATAATCAAAGTTTCTTACCAGCCTCAGTGAACACCTCTGCGTGTTTTCTTGTGCACTTGTGCGTATATATGAGACATTAAGTGTGGATTATTTATGGAAGTGGAAATACTAGCTTGTATGTAATGTCCTCTACTAAAATATTGCCAAGTTGTATTTCCAAATTGGTTGTACAATCTTATAGTTCCATTTAACAGTGTTTTACTTTGCCAAATCTTTTCAAAGTTTTATTCTGATCTTAGTTTGACTTTACTTCACATCAAGAATTGATTGTCATGGTTATTGTGTTCATTGTCTTTGCTTATTTTCTGTAGTTTTGGTTCTAAGGCTTTATGAGTATCTTCTCGCTGGAGCATGCCTTTTAACTTTGTATGTATTTTATCATACAGAAGTTTAACTTTTAATGTGGTCACATATTTTCTTTTCTCTTTTGATTTCTGCTTTTTGTATCACAAGTCAATCTCCCATATCTTTTTTCTTAAAACATACTCTTACCATTTGTTCTGAAAGTTAGGAGTTTTTTGGCATTTATTTAAATATGAGGTAGCAATCTGAAGTTACAGTTGCCTAAATGACTATATATTAGTAGAATTTGGAACTGTCTTTTTTTGTGACTGTCTCAGATAATTTTAAATGTTTTCTTTTATTCTTGCCATTAATAATTCAAGTTTCCAAAATTATTACCTTTAAGAGTCTAAAATTATAAGGATTTTTGATGTTACCAGCAACATGAACTATTTGAGTCTTTTAGATATAACGGGCACAATATTAATTTATAATTTGAGAATAAGAAGCAAAATGGAATGACTTTGCTCATATGAGATCCTTTTGTATTGACTAACTGAAAAAAATTCTGCTTGTGTGAGTTTATGTTTTGGTTTTAACACTTTTAAACAGTTGTTCTTAAGTAACATGAATGTTACTGTTGTAGTCTAGGAGTATAGTTATTTTTAAGTGACTGTAAATAGGTTTTAGGTAATTGATTTCAAAAAAATCATTGCTTTTATACATTTCCTCTTTGGATTGTTTCTGGACTTTAAACTTGGAAGATCTTTATTTTCCTTTCTTTTCTGTATTGTAATAGACATGGCTTTGTGGCATCCATATTAAAAATGGGTAATTTTCCTTATGGTCCCTGTCTTCCTGCTGAGTTGATAATGTTTTGATGTATTTTTCTTTTGCTCTGATGAGAGGTCTGCTGCTGCTGCTCTGACATATTCATTTGGATGAATAATTATAACTTGCACAATGTCAAGCTGAAGATGGTAGGGTTTTGTGCGTCATGACAAGCCTAGTAGCCAGTGCAGGTGTCTCACAGCATGATCAGCCACAGCCAGTGTATTCTGGCTCAGAGGAAACATTTAGAGTAGTAAGAAATCAGCACCAAGGGCAAGGCTGCTGCTACTATTGCTTCTGTATGTGCCAAAAAAATGCAAAGTGCTCCTCAGAAACAAGACGCTAAATACCTCTTTAGAAATGCTTACTTTTCTTTGCTCAGTAAACTCTCTTTAATAGATTTTAACACAGAATGTAATCTGTGTTTTTTGTCTTACTATACTTTTACATGTGCTGTAAAACGCATTAAAAAATTCTATAGCCTTTTAGATTTTTATGTACAGATTATATATGTCACTATTGTTGACTATTGAGATGGGCTACAGTCAGATTTTAAGTACATTGGTATTATTACCATATAAAAAAGAACTTTTTTGTCCAGGTCACTCAGTGAGCAAAAATAGCTACTTAAATTGCTGTTTTACCTCTAAATGTCCGATTAAGATTTGGTAAAGCATCCTTACCACGGCCAGTTAGAATTTTCAGATTTGATATGATGCAGTAAATAGTTGTTTTTATGTTTTTTATCATTGCAATCTGATATTCTTGGAATGGAGCCATGAATGAAGAAGAGCAAAACTAATGATAAAGCCTCTGGCTGATAATCTGATGGTGAATGAAGAATTTGTAATTAAAGGAAACATAGCAGGGAGCATGATCCATTAGTTAGAGCACCAGACTAGCAGTTGGGCATCCTAAGCTCTGTTTACAGTTCAGTCATTCACTTAATTGTATAATTTCAAACAAGTCACATGACTGCCCTTTGCCTCATTTCATATACATGTGAACTTTTTCATTGATACGTAAAGAAAAATTAGTCTTGCATAAAGCAAAAAATACGTAGAGCTAAAACAAACAATCAACTTAATTATCCACTTTAAGAATTCTTTGGATGGAAGTTCTTTTTTGTCACCAAGGTTTTCATTCTTTTCTTTGCTGTTTTTGTCAGAGAACTCACAGTAACTCAATTTCTGTTTAGTCCTAAATTGGCTAATTACATACATACTTTGTTTTCTTGGATATTTTATTACTGTCACAGTGCTATGGATCAAAGAATCCATAGATATTTTTTGATATGATAAAGTATGAATGAAGGAGTCAGGGACCTAGTGGACTCAGTCACATATTAACTGCCTTTTTTTCTTTGGTTCTTTTAAAGTAACTTACTCATTTAAAAATTACCCTGAATTCTAAAAAAAGAAAGAAGGAAAACACAAGGGAGCAAAATGAAAAAAATACAAAATCATCTTTAATGCTTATATTTAAAATGGGATCCTCATTAGATTATAGTTTTTAAACTATGTCATGTAGCAGATTTCATTTTAGAAACATTTTTGATAATACTGTATACTTACTCCAGATGATCCTTTGGGTCATCTGGGGTTTTTGTTCTAATTTGGTGTACATTTCTCTATCAAACTAAGGATTTATATATTCACAGTCGAGGACCTTATTATCTTTCCATTTACATAGGCTCTTCCATAGATCCATTTCCTTAGTTCTGTCAGTTTAAGTGATTTCTTAAACTAAATGTTACATATTTTTATTGAATTTATTGCCAAGTGTTCAAACATTTTACTGCTGTTATGAATGCAGTCTTTCTATTTGTATTTTGTAGTTTATCATGTTTAGGCCAAGCTATTAATTTTTTAAAAATACTTTTATCTAACTTATATATGAACATAGT